TTCAGGGGTTTTTGGCCACACTGCAATCCCTTCTCCTCCATTCTCCTCTTGGGATCTTGGGCACGCACGCACATGCACCCGACGTGAGTTTAAGCCGCCGGGTCCAGGATTCAAACCATGGTCGACTACGTGGGAGTCCAGCAACATAGCCATTACACCAACTGCTGGTTCATTTTTTGAGAGATATTTTTTATATATAGGGCACGTGCACTTACAGAGAGAGAGAGGGAGAAAGCAAGAAATCACGACCCAGGGAGGATGGCCATGCTAAAATCCCTTCTCCTCCATTCTCCTCCCAGGATTTTGGGTACACGCACACATGGGTGCCCAGTGTGATTTTCATGCCTCCAGGTCCAGGACTCAAACAGCAGTCAACCATGTGTGAGTCCAGCACCTTAACCACCATGCCGCCTGCTGGCCTCAATTTTCTTACATTTTAAACAGGGGCAACTAAAGCAGGCAGATGGGCCCCTCTGTCAACTGCACCTGCTACTTGTCGGGCCACTTCTTGTGTGCACTTTCCAGCTTATGAATGTTTTCTTTTTAGAGAATCTACCCTTTCATTTGGTTCTAATCACTCCCCACCCCCTGCCTGTCAATGGCACCCCCATTTCACAGATGGGGAAACAGGCTCCATGGGGTCAAACAACAGGGCAGCAGCAGAGGACTCAGATCTTGAGATGGAGCTGGATCTGCAGCAGGGGAGGTCAGGATAGACACAGTCATGCATCCAAGAGACTCAGGCTGGGATGGAGGCCCCAGGAGAGGCTGGCCCTGAGCTGGGAGACTGCATGGGCAGGGGGAGGGGCTGGACACCAGGCTCCCTTGGGGAAGGAAGTGTCCTGAAAATCCACTAGTGGAAAGTCAGCTCACCAATTAATTGATTTGGTGAAAAGTTGATGTGCCAAAGGGTGAATTCAGGGAGTGGCCAATTGACTGAATTTACATTTGTCAATTGGTCCCGAGCTTGTGCAAAAGAATTACACTCAATGTGTCCCAGAAAATGAAGTCGTCTTCAGATTTGGACATGCACTGTAGCATTGCATATAGAAAAGTTCCCATTTCAATGGACTTCTTCCTATTACTTTTGGCTTTTCTTTGTTTAGTTGGCTTTTTGTTGTTGTTGTTGTTTTTGTTTGTTTGTTTTTGCTAGAGGGCATGTGTACTTGCCAGAGAGAGAGAGAAAGTGATTTTTCAAGCCTGAGACTCAAACTGTACTATCGACCATGTGCATCCAAGCCACTTGCTGCCCCCCATTACTTTTTTAGAAAGTTTATTTACTTACATCTTCCATAAGTGAGAGAGGCAGGGACAATACCACCAATGGAGTCTCAACTACTCCATTCATCCCCGGCCTCAGCTAGCCGCAGGCATGGATATCCAATATGCCCAGTGTACTCAGGGAGGTCTCCCTGCGCGAACCCAGGACCTTCCCGTGTGGGCCTGCCTTGTAGAGCATCACATTATACCGCTGCCAACCTCTACTAGTTTTAAAGTAACTAGTTTTGCACATATCCGTAAGTTTATTTAACACATTTAAGAAAAGTATTTCTTAAAGGTTTTTTGTTTGTTTGTTTGTTTGTTTTTCACTCCCTGTAAATCAGTTACTTAGTAAATATGGCAAACTGCTCTATGTGAATGGTCCCCTTAGTAAATTGGCTTTGGGGGAATCCATCTGCAGCAACTCGTTACTCCTGTTTCCCTGGCAAATCCAGGTGGGAGGGGCAGCTGTGCCTTGCTCTGGGACTTTGCTGTGAGTTACTCCAGCATGGATTTCTCCTCCCAGAAGAGTGTCCACAGACAGTACGGCGGAGGCTAAGAGCCTGGGTCAGAGGCACACGGACCTAGGCTGGAATCGAACTCTCCTGCTGGCCTTGGACAGTCTGCTTGTCATTTCCCTCTGAACTTCAGTGCTCTCATCTGTAACAGGGGCTGGGGGGTGGGAGGCAATGCCCCATGGGGTTGTGACGACTGAGTGAAATGAAGCATGTCCATGCAACAGCTGGCCCAGTCTCCTAGGAGACCACTTTGCCCAGTACCAAGTTTTAAGCCTTTCCACATGTAGGGCATTGAGCCCAGATTTTGCTGGCATTGTCACATTTACTTCTCATGACAGCTCTCCATGAGATGCTTCCAGAGGGCAGCCCTTTATCCAAATCCCATAGGAGGCCAATGGCTTTGCCTGTTGTTTGAGGGACTCAGCAGTGTAGTTGCATGTGAAGGAGCCCAGTGTGAGACCCCCATGCTCTGTGTTTAGGGGTTAGCTGACAACCCCTGGGTACCCTCTCACTACCAAGGGCCCCACTCACTTGACCTGCTTCTCGCCCACAGGTGTTCCAGCAGTACCCCGAGTCCCGCCCACTCACCATCAGGATCCAGGTGCCCAACCCCCCATCAGTGACGTTGCAGAAGGACGAGGCCCTGGTGAAGGTGTTCGCCACTGCTGAGGTCGTGGTCTCGCAGCCCGACATCGAGACCACCATCTGCCTCATTGACGTGGTGAGTGTCTAGGCATGCACGTGCCTCCCAGCTAGGCCTTTAGACAGAGCTCTGTGGTCTCCCAGAACACACAGACCCATTTGGACCCACAATCCCCACCATAGGACTGTGAACCCAGCTTTGGGGGCCAAAGAATCTGGTTCAAATCCAGCCTTTATCATTTCTAGTTGCATGACCTTGGACAAGTCGATCTCCATCTCTGGGTCTAGTTTGCTCCTCTATCACATGAGGATGATGGCAGAGCCTAAACGAGGTACTCAGAGCAGTACCTGGCCTACCAGAAAGGCTCCAAAGGGGCTGGCTGTTACATTCTCTCAGGTTGTATACTACATGGCAGGATAGGCCTTGGCCAGTCATTGGGCAGTATTTACTGAGCAGCTACTACGTGCTGTGCTTTCTACCAGAGGGTGGAGAAAAGGAAACAAGACTAAGGGACCTACTCGCTTGTCCCTGGTGCCTGGCAGAAAACGGGTACAAAAATAGCAGTCCATCATTACAGTAAACAAAATGAGATTTTCCATCCAGAATACACTGCATATTGGCTCGATCAAGGATATTACCATACATGTTACCATCAACAAATTCTTCCCCGCCCTCCTTGATTCCCTGCCTCTCACCCTCTGCTATTTCCCACCCTCCTCCCACGCTGTCTCTGGTATCTACAGTTGCATTCCAGGCCTTTTTTTTTTTTTTCCCAGTTTATTAATTCACTAAAAATCTTAATGAATCTAAATACTTTCAATAGCAAGTGCAGCTGATATATACATATCTATACATATACATGTCTGACTTTAGGCATAAACCTCTGTGAGAATGAACATACTATAACGTAGTACCTAGCTGGGACTATATAGCTTACTGCAGTCATTCAATAGGTATTTTTTTTAATGCATTTTTTTAATTTCAAGAAAAAGTTTTAGTTTTAATAGATCAAAATCAAAAAATGTTAAGGGAAATTTGCTTAAGACTAAAGGCAAGGGAGATTAGCATTCCATTCAAACAGGAGACAGGTGAACCTATCAGCAGTTCAAAAGAAGACAAAAATCCTTAAATCTGTAATAATAAAAAAAAGCATAGAAGAAAATCAGTAATATTTTAGTCAAAAGTCATAAAATTCTACTTCACCAGTTCAGTCTCATGCACTTAATCTCTCCTCTATTAAATTTGCAGTGTTACTGTGGTCTGATCTTTCCATTTAAATTCTAGAACTTAACATTCAACATTATTATTGAACTTTGCAGACTCATCCCTACCATTAAGTTGGCCATTCTCTTGGTTGCTTTTTATATTCTTATTTCTGTGTGTCTGACTTTAGCTTTCTTGATATAGCACTCCCTTCAGTACTTCTTAGAGAGCTGGTCTGGTGTTGGTAAATACTTTCGGGTTTTGTTTATCTGAGAATGTTTTGGTCTTTTCTCCCCATATGGAGGATAATCTTGCCAGTTATAGTATTCTTGGTTGAAATTGTTTTTCACTTAACACTTTGAATATATTTTCCCATTCTTTCTTTGCTTGCATTGTTTCTAATGAGAGGTCCGATGTTAGCTTGATGGAATGTCCTTTGAAAGTAACTTGACGTTTCTCTCTTGCCAATTTTAGTATCTTGTCTCTGTCCGTGGTTTTGGTCAGTACAGCTATGATGTTGCCTTGGAGAAGATCTTCTTGGGTAAATTCTGTGTGGGGTTCTTTGTATTCCTTGATTCTGGATATTTGAATACCTCTCTAGGTTTGGAAAGTTTTCTTCCAGTATTTCATGGAATAGATTATCAATGCCCTTATTAGTTTCTTTACCTTCTGGGAAACCAATTATCCAGATGTTTGGGCGTTTAATGGTATCTAATATATATCTCGTATATCAGTCTCAGTTTTGGGGGTTATTTTCTCAGTCTTTTTGGTGAATTTTTCTAGGTCAGAGGTTCTGTCTTCTACATCTGAGGGTTGATCTTCTGCATGATTCAATCTGCTTTTAATACTTTCAAGGGAGGTTTGATTTTCTGTATTACAGCCTTCATCTCTAACAATTCTGTTTGCTTCTTTGTTATGGTGTATATTTCCTTTTTCAAACCACGCAAGAACTTCCTCACCTTCTGGAACTCATTGTCTCTTTTCTCTTGCATCTTCTGGAGTTCATTGTCTCTCTTCTCTGGCATCTCTGTTAGCTTTGTCATTATGAATGTTCTAAATTATTGATCTGACATTTCCAGGAGTTCCCTTATTGTCTGTGGTGGAGGAAGAGTTAGTATTTTCCCTTAGGGAGAGATATTTTCTTGGCTTCTTATATCTCTTTTGCCTCTGCAGTGGTTTCTGGTCATCTAATGGTTTATTATTTTTTTTTTCTTCTAATTTTTGGAGTTAAATCTGAGTGTTCAGAGGCATGCAGGAGGAAGTGATCTGCAATCTCTAAGTACTACCGTTTTTCTCCCTTTGTGCAGCAGATTCCATGGAAACTGAGGATTATTCTGACCCTAAAAGTATCCAGATATTTGGCTGCTATGCACCTAGACCTCTCTAGAAACTCAGGGTGTAGAGGCTAAGCAGCAAAGTGATAAAGATAAAAGGAAAAAACCAAAAACAAACAAAAACAAACAAACACAAACAAAAAAGACAAACACAAAAAAAGAGACAAAAATATTTTTTAAGCAAAAAATTAAAAACTGTTGGGACCAACCCGTGGTGTGGTGGTTAAGGGCACTGGACTCCCTTATAGCTGACTGCGGTTCGAGTCCTGGACCTGGCAGCTTGTTTTCTCACTTTTCCTCTTTCTCTTTCTCACTCTGTTCCTCTCTGATCAAATTAAAAAATAGTTAAAGTTAAATAAAATAATTTTTTTAAAAAAGTCTGTCTGGTGTGCTAGCGCACCGTGAGAAAAGGGTCACTCAGAACTCAAATGTATATGGCTGGTGATTGACTTATCCTATGTGGGAGGGAGGAGAAGTAAGAATTAGCAAGACAAGAGAGCAAAGAAGTTTAAAAATTAAAAGAACAAAAGATTGGAGAGAGATGGAGAGTGACAGAGAGAATAAAGAGGGTGCTCTACCTGGCTAGATCTGGGGGACAGGAGGGTGAAGTCTGGGCAGAAAATCTTCAGTTGTCATAATCCCTGAAAGGGGTGGCTCAGAACTCAAATATAGATGGCTAGTGATTGGCTTGTCTTGGCTAGATCTGGCGGGGGGCGGAGGGTGAAGTCTCGCAATATCTACCATTCTTTCATGGAGAGGAATCCTCTTAAAACACATATCATATAATGCCTCCCCCCACACTTTCCTTCGATTGTAAAGTAAAAGTCAGTCTCCTGGCCCACAAGGTCCTTCAAGATCACCCTCTAGTCATTCTCAGCTCTTCGATGCTCCTCTGATGTGTCAGGCATGGTCTGACCTCAGGGCCTTTGCACATGCTGTTTCCTCTCCCCAGAATGCTTTCACCCAGATCTTTGTTCATCTCCTTACTTCCTTTAGGACTCTGCTCAAATGTCACTTTCTCAGAGAGACTTTCCCAGATCACCTGTCCAAAATGTTGCTATCCCCCTGTACTCTCTCTCCTTCTCTCCCTGTCTTCTTTGCCTACTTTGATCTTAGCTTTAAGCTGATATAATAAAATGCATTTGTCTGTTAGTTTATTGCTGAACGAAGACTCTCTGTCTTATTCACTGCCAGAGCCTTAGTTTTACACAAGGCCCAGCACATAGTAGGTGCTCAGTAAACATCTGCCAAAGGAATGTGTAAGGTTGAGTTATGTGCCATTCCCCCCTTGGTGGTTAAGGTTTCAGGGGGTCTATCTGGTCCCATCTGCTGTCTTCCCATTCCTCCTAGGCCCAGGGTTCAAGGCCCAACGAATCACCTGTAGGAGGGAAGAGAATGTTCCTGGCTTCTCCATGTTTGAATCTTGCCATGGCTCCCCAATGCCCCAGTTGTTATTAATTAATGACAATAATACTAATGATTAATTTGGGGGGAGTTTACTTTTTTCATAAGACCAATTTATTTTATTTATTTTGTTGGTGGAGGGACAGCGGAGCAAAGAGGGATTTTCCTACAAGGCTTCTGCTTGGAGGGAGAGAGGTAACCCCTCTTCCCCCGTCTCAGGGGGACCAGGCAGTTATGACTGGCAGCGAGGGTGCCCAATTCCATCTGCAATGTTTCATTCAAGTGAATTTCCTGGGCCACTACAAGGCACCTCCTGCCCCCGCCCCAGACATCTCAGAGAAACTTGGCACGTTTGCATGCCAACTGTGGGATCCTCTGACATTTGTCTTTCCGAGAAATGCTCACTTGGCCCTTACTGTAACTTTCAATGCTTGTAAACAATACCTCATGTCGGCAGTTCCTTCCCTTTCAGAATGGCAGGGGGAATCCATTCTGCAGCAGGTATTATTGGGAGGCTCATGGTTATAAGAAGAAATTTGATGAAAGCCTCAGAGAATTGCCTGTCACTGTGCCCAGGGTTAACAAAGTACCCAGCTAGTGCCAGGCACTGGGCATACAGTGAGCCCCCAGCAAACAACAGCCAACACCTGGTGGGAGACATTCACTGCCTCCCCTTTTCTTCCAGGACACAGAACTCTTGGCCTTCTTTTCCGTGGAAGGAGATAAGCTAATGATCGACGCCAAGCTGGACAAGTAAGAGGGTTTGCTTCCTCGGGGTTCTGCTCCTCAGAAAGGCATCTTTGGTGTGGCTGGTGCTGGCTCACAGAGGGGCCGCCGGGGAGGGAGCAGAGGCCACCTGTGTGGCTGGGTAAATCCAGGAGTCTGCAAGGGTGGACCGGCCTGGGCCTGCCTGCTATGTCACAAGCTAGGCGGGGTGGGTGGAGTCATGACCTTAACAGCAAGAACACCCCCTCGACAAGATCAGTGATAACAGTGACACTGGTGGCGCTGCGGTACCAGGTTGTGCATATGCCTTGTCTGTGTGGCCCTCCCAGGGAGCCTGTGAAGTCCAGGCTAGTCCGTCCTTTTAAAGAGGGGACAACCTGGGCAGAGAGTGGTGGATTGATTTGCTCAGGGCCACGCAGCGCATGCACAGAAGTGCTACGAGCTGACCCAGGTCTGCGTGACCTGCCTCATTGAATGGTGACCAGCGCAGGTTCTGATGTCAGGTAATATGGGTTCAAACCCTGTCATGACCGCGGACTGGCTATATGACATGGGTTAGGTGACTTCACCTCTGAGTCACAGTTTTCTCATCTGAAAATGGAGATATAAGTTCCTACCTCATAGGGTTAAACAAACAAAACAAAACAAAACAAAACAAACCAAAAAAACTACCATTTAGCGGATGCTTTCTATGTGCCAGTCCTAGTGTGTCCTCACTTAATTCGTCACATCAGCCTGTGGATAGAAGTACTATTATTATTCCCATTCGAAGATGAAACGAGGGGCCAACCCCACCATGCAGCAGTTAAGCGCTACTCAGAGGAAGCAGATGCCATGCAGCCAATCGGGGGGCGAGTCTCAGCCCGGTGGCTTGACAAACACTCCAGGCCTGTGGCTGCATACCCAGGGTCCTGATGGGATGGAGATTGGCGGGAACAGGATTGCCGTGGGATCAGGCCCCATTGCTGGGTGCTCCTTCGCACCTCCCATGGGTACACGCACCTCCTGCATAACATAATTTTGTAAAACATTAAATGAGATCGTATATAAAACGTTCTGCATGTGCCTACATCATTGTAAGTTTCTATTTTTAGAACAAATCTTTATGAAGCCAACAGTGGGAGGTACTTAGACTACGGTACCAATCAGGGCAGCCAGGGGCTTCTAAGGAGGCGTGTTCAACACAAGGCCTGGAAGAAGAGCAGGCGCTGGCTGCATAAGAGCTAGGTGTTTGCAGCAGGGAAAGCAGTCGTGCACATTTGCAGAGGGGAAGAGTCTGGGGTTGTGGACTGAGCAAGGGGGCGCGAGGGATGGGCATGGGAGTCAGAAAGAAAAACATATGTCTGGCATCGTGAGTCTCCTCACCTGGGGAGGCTCCTTCGCATCTCTCTCCTGCTGGACGCTGAGCTGATCCTTTGCCGTGGCTCCAGTAATCTTTGCCGGGGTGAGCATGGTCTGGCCTCTAGGGCAGGACTGCCGGTTGCAGGTGAGTCCAGGTGCAGCCAGACTGAAGCCCATGTTCCTATTCTCAGAACAGCACAGCAGCTGAGGTGCACTTCAGGGCGTGAGGCTCCGGCTGTCCCTCCCTTGCGCCACGACTGTGGCTGGTTGCCCGGAGCCCCAGTTTCCTTCTTGGCCGGGTTGCTGTACAGTCAACCCTAAACCCAATCATTAACACGTGCCCGACGCCAGCTATTTACCAGCACGGTTCTAAGAGCTTTATTTATATGAATATACCATTTAGTCCTGGTGGCCACCCACCTTACAGACATGGAAACTGAGGCTAGGAGAGGGGAAGCGCTTGGCTAAAGTCACTGAGCTACTACTGGATTTGATTCTGGTCTACACAGCAGATGAAGCCTGAACAGCATGTCTGGGGTAGTGAGTGCTCAGCACATGGAAACCGGCCTTGTTCCTATTGACAGCCCAAGAGGGAGGAGCTTCGTGAGTGTCGAAGGAGCTTCTAGTTTGCATTTGTGGAAACGCAGGACCTAGTGATTCTCAGGTGATTGCTTCTGCTCATGGCTGTTTCCTTTATCTGCAGGACCAACCTCAACCTCAGAACCTCAAACGTGGGTAACTTTGATGTAAGTACCATGCTCAGCCCACTCTCCACTCCCACCCCCACCACCAGGGGGGGTCTTCTGGGAATGGAGCCCAGGAAAGGTCTTCTGGGAATGGCATCCTCATGAGGCCGGATGGGCCTGGGAGTGTGTCAGTGCTGAAGGGCTGTCAGGCCTTGTTTCGCAGATGGACAGATAGAGAAACTGAGGCCCAGGAGATGAGCGAGGGCCAGGACACAGCCTCACAGTTCCTTTGGCTCCCTCTGTGGTGTGTGCTGTGGAACCACCGGGCCCAAACCAGGGAGAGGAGGTGGTGCGGGCAGCTGTGTCCTGTGGGTCCTCTTTCCTTCTGGAGTTAGGAGGCCACTAACTCCCATGGGACCTTGGGCAATACCAACCCACCCCGAGTTGCTTCCTTGTCTGTGAAACAGATGTGATTCATTTCCAACCTCCCTTCTTACTCCTGGGTTCTAGAATTCTGCTTTCCTAGGAGTCCTTGAATCTGAGAAGCCCACATCCTAGAATTTGATTCCATTTCCTCTGTGTATTCATTCTTGGGCTTTTCATCCAACCAAAATCTTCAGAACCTTGTTTTTTCTTTTGCTCTTTATTTTTAAAAATAAATTGACAACTACTAGGTTGTCCAGAAATTCATGTATCAACGTATCACGACTTTCCTGATGACCCAATAAATAGACACTTTCTGGGAGAGCTTGGGTGAGATCCCCACATGCTCTGAGAAAGTTAAACCTATTCCTTGTGTTGCTTATTTTTGAGCCATTCCATCCCCAAATCTCTGCAGCTGATGGTGTTGGCACTGCCGGCTTCATGTCGTAGTGGGAGGAACTGCTGCAGGCTTCAGACCTGACTGGCCAGAGTCAGGACCAGAACCCAAATCTTTGGACTCCAAGTGAAAACAGGGGCTAACATTTAGTGTAAAATTAATGAACATTTATGGAACTCTAGAGATATGTACTAGACACCTAAATTAATACCCCCCTTTTTGCTATTTTTTAAAGTTTATTTATTTCTTCCTTGAGAGACATAGACAGGGAGTGAGAGTGAGAAAGATAGGAACAATGCCCCGATCCCTAGCCAGCCTCAGCCCCAGTCCCTCGCCAACCAGCCAGCTTGGATCATAGCACATGTGTGCACCCCCTGCATACTCAAGGAGGTCCCTGAATTTGAACTCAGGACTTTTGGCATTTGGGCCCATTTGTCACTGCCTGATCTCTATTTTTCTGCTTTATTTTTTATATTTTGTTTTCCATAGGGTGCATACAGTGGCCAGAGAGAGACAGAGGGAGGAAAGTGAAAAATCACTCCCCAAGGAGGATGGCCTCACCTCAATCCCTCCTCCATTTTTTTTTTTTTTTTTTTTGGAGAGATTTTCACTGTAGGGCGCGTGCACTCGCCAGACAGACAGAGACAGACATAGAGACAGAAAGCGAGAAATCACCCCCCAGGGGGGATGGTCACGCCGCAATCCCTTCTCCTCCATTCTCCTCTCGGGATCTTGGGCACGCACGCACACGCGCCCGGCGTGAGTTTTAAGCCACCGGGTCCAGGACACGAACCGCGGTCGACTACGTGGGAGTCCAGCGACATAGCCATTACGCTAACTGCTGGTTCCCAATCCCTCCTCCATTTTCCTCTCAGGATTTTAGACACTCATGACACATGCTCAGAGTGACTTTCAAGCTGCTGGGTCTGGGACTTGAACCACAATTGACCGTGTGGGAGTCCACGCCAGCTTTTCCCATCTGATCCTCACAATCTTTTTATGATAGGGTACCATCATTAACCCGTTGTGTTTAAGGAAGCTAAACTCAGAACAGTAAGTGACTCGCTAAGGTAACCAAGTTAGTGAGAGGGTAGCGGGCTCTCACCACCGTGCATCTCTCTTTTTTTTTTTGAGAGGTTTTTCGCTATAGGGCATATGCGCTTGCCAGACAGACAGAGAGAGACATAGAGACAGAAAGCGAGAAATCACCCCCCCAAGGGGGATGGTCACGCTGCAATCCCTTCTCCTCCATTTTCCTCGGGATCTTGGGCACGCACACACACGTGCCCGGCGTGAGTTTTTTTAAGCCACCGGGTCCGGGACGCGAACCGCAATCGACTACGTGGGAGTCCAGCGACATAGCCATTACGCTAACTGCTGGTTCCCACCACCGTGCATCTCTTTATAGTAGATATTTTACATACAGGAGCTCATGTTTGATTTAATAACCACCCTATAGATAAGGATTATTCATTTTCAGATATGGAAACCAAGGCTTAGAGAAGTTAAAGCAGAAAATACATGAAAAGGTGCAAGACCAGGCATTTTGCATGCTCTGCCCATAACCCTCACTGTGTCCTTGCAGGCTGGGCGTTCCAACTGAGGAAGCAGGGGGTCTCGGAAGTGATGGGACCTGCCCAGAGGTCCACGGAGGCTGAGCTAGGATGGGAACCTGGAATATTGTTTCTGATCTCCATGGCCTTCAGTGACACCATCATGCCTTCATGGCAGGCCCTCTTAGACCTCGTGCCTCTGCCTCCCAGAGGTCTTGGACCAGTATTCACCCTCCTCTGGGCCTCAGTCTCCCTATCTGTGCAATGGGCAGGTGCGCTAGGTGTGCTTTGGGGCTATCGCCTGAGTGGTTCTGATGGCCCCGACTCTAAGACTCCCAGAGCAGCTCTGTGCCTTCATCTTAGCCCACAGAGCCAGGTCTTGGGGGGCCTTCTGAGCTGAAGAACCGTTGCCTGGGCTCACTCCTCATTCTTCCCCTGCAGGTTGGCCTCATGGAGGTACTGGTTGGGAAGATTTTTGACCTCGCGTTTATGCCTGCGATGAATGGTGAGAGCGGGTGCCCGTGTCCCAAGGGTTTGTGGCTTGGGGACTTTGGGGACTGGGTGGCTCCTGGTCTGCTGTGTGTGTTGGATGCTCAGCTGTGCTAGCTCAAAGGCTCTGAGAACTTCTGACGTGTTGATTTGAGCCTTAGAATGCAAATATTGCTCTCAAGGGAAATCAACTTCCTTCTTTGCTTCTTTCTTGTTTGGCTGATTGCGTTGTTTTTAGTTATGTCTGAACATTCCAAATATATATGAAAATGTTATATGTGCAAATTTTAGAAAGTAAACAATAGTTTTTGGAAAAAAAAAAACCCAAAAACTTACCTCCCAGGGCAACTAATCTCAACATCTGGATATATTTCCTTCCACCCTCTTTCAACATTTTTTTTTTCATACAGTTAAGGTATTTCCTAACGTCTTTTTATATGGATATTTACTTTTATCATTTTTTAAAAATTTTTCTTTCTTTCATGAAAGACAATTACTCCAACAGGTACTCATGCTGCCACCCTCCCTCTTGCCCCTCCAGATAGCCAGGAACACAGGCCCATGCCCTGCATGTGCTAGTCAACCTGGGAACCAAACCCTGATCAACCATATGGTCTCTGGTACTATAGAGCTCTGCGCTAGGCTGAGCCACCATGGCTGGCAATCATACAGGAATGCAGAAATACGTTTTCATTGTAAGGCATCAGTGCAGGTGAAGCTAAAGTTGGTACCCCCTTACTGATATCCCCAACTTCCTAACCCAGAGTCTGGCCCCTGGGCAGCCATATTAAAACCTAGAAGGTTTTCTTTTTTATGTTTTTGCCATAGTTTGAGCAAAGAGAAACAGAGAGAGAGAGAAAGTAAAAAAATCACTTCCCCTTGGGAGGAGATGGCCACACCACAGTACCTTCTCCTCCATTCTCCTCTTGGGATTTTGGGTACATGCTTGTCCCACTTCCTATATAGACTAGACTGAGCATGTGGACCCTTTCTGTGGCATCTCAGGAGTGTTCTCAGGAAGGTTACTTGGGTGTCCAGGGTCACCTGGCACCTAGGGCAGAGAACAGTGAGTAAGCCCAATGTGATTGGGAACCTTGGCCCAAAGCCCTTGTGCTACTCGCCACCCCCTCCCCACTCCTGCTTTGTGAAAGAGAGGACAAAGAAGGCTGTCAGGGCCTGGCTGACATCCCCAGTGAGCCCAGCCAGGTCTACCTGGAGAGATCTTAATGTCAGACAGACCCTTCAGGGACCCATCGCCAGAGGAGGCTGAGTCCCAAAGTCCGTGCATGTTCCCCGGTGAGAACAGGGCAGGGCTGACCTGGGGAGCCCAGAGATCGAGATTCTGCCTGGCTTGGTCACTAAGCTGTGGTATGACTTGGGGCCAAGTCCTTTAATCTTGCTGACATGTAATGATTTATTTTCAAAAGTGAGAAATTGGGCAAGGTCCATGACTGCCAAAATGGGTTCCATAAAACATTAATCCCACAAGATATCCGGAGAACAAGGTTCCATGGCCCAGCACGTGTGGAAGTGCTGGATATATTTCCATGGGGGAGATTCCTGGTATCCTCAGCTCTCCAGGAAGTGCTGCTGGAGTCAGGAAGTCCCTTTCACGTCACCTAATCCACTTGCTTGCCCACACTCCCTACCCTCCTTCCCTCTTTTCCTCTTTCTTCCTCCTTTCTAAAATGTTAGCATCTCTACTTAGACTCAGACAACCTAAAAACAAACAGCACACCTCATGCCAGCCATTTTTTTTTTAAGTTTATTAACTTATTTCCTCCATGAATGCGACAGAGCTGGACAATACCAACAGAGTCCTGCACCATGATCCACTCCCAGCCTCAGCCGGCCCTGGAACAATGGCATACACATGCCCGGCATACTCCAGGAGGTCTCCGATGTGAACCTGGAATCTTCCCATGTGGCTCAGCCTCTCCGAGTGTCACCTTTACCACTGCCCTGCCGTCTGGCCCCCTCCATGCCAATCATTAGTTGGGGCTCCCTGTGTGTCTTCCCATTTCTTCACTCAGCAGACAAGTGTCCCCTCCTCTTGCTGGGCTAAGGGCTATGACGCTGGGGACACATTCCTGCCTGCAAGGAACTCTCGAAGGGGTAGGGTGACAGGCAGAAACAGAATTAATATTTCCTGACTTCTCTAATAGGGCAGGTTGAGAGTGGAGTGGAGTAGAGTGGAGTGAGGCAGGAGCCTGGAGTTACCTGGCCTGGGGTCCAAGGTCCAGAGAAAGTCTCAGGGAAGGCTCCAAACTCACCATGGAGGTGGGGGTGAGGGAGTATACTCCAGACAAGAGGAGCTGCAGAGACATGAGAGAAATGGCCGATCTTCTTGCCAGTATTGATGGCTTCCGGCCACCTCACCTCCAAGACTCACAGCTCTTGGCCACGCTGACCAAGCCAGACTTTTTCTTTACTTTTCATTTATTTATTTATTTATTTATTTATTTTCACAGCTGTGCTGGGTTCTGGCGTCCCCCTCCCCAAAATCCTCAACATCGACTTCAGCAATGCAGACATCGACGTCTTGGAGGTAAGGGGAGATAAAACTGTTCTCTTTTGCTCTTCGACCTTGACCATGCAACATCAGGCCAGAGATTGGGAGGTGGAATAGAAGAGAAGGAATGGAAAAGGGACGGAGGCCTCTTCCTTCCAAGCGTGGGAATGAGAGAACGAGGATCAAAGCTGATGAGACTCCTTCAGGGACCCTCTGGCCTTCGTGATCTTATTTAGTCCTCACAGATATCATGGCCTCCGTCTCACAGATGGCAAAACTGAGGCTCACAGCAAGAAGGGGCTTGCCCAAAGTGAAATGTGATGCAATTCACTGGGGAAACTTTCATTAAGCACCTACTATGTGCTAGCCACTGTGCAAGGGACTGGGGAGACAGCAGTGAACTAGACTTTACAGCCCCGGCTCTGGTGCTGGCTCTGGTCCTGACACAGCTCTCGCAGTCAGGGAGACAGGTCTTGGGTAAATATTCTTGAAATCTGTAACCCAGATAGACCTATCTGCAACTCCTCAGAATATTTTGCTGTTTTTCATTCTAATCTCTTCGGAGTTTTCATTTTGAACATGGCTTGATCACGTAGTCAGTAGAACATTTGGATTAAAGGACTAGGGCTCTGGAGCCCAACAGCCTGGGTGCAAAGTCTCACTCTACTGGTTTCCAGCTGAACCCTGGGTAAGGTCCTGAAGTTGTCTTAGCCTCAGTTTTCTCCTCTATTTAAAGGGACTAGTGGGACCAGCAGTTAGCGTAATGGCTATGTCGCTGGACTCCCATGTAGTTGACCGTGGTTCAAGTCCTGGACCTGGCAGCTTAAAATCATACTGAGCGCATGTGTGTGCATGCCCAAGATCCCAGGAGGAGAATGAAGGAGAAGGGATTGCAGTGTGGCTATCCCCCTGGGGGATGATTTCTTGCTTTTTGTCTCTCTGTCTTTCTGGCAAACACATGTGTCCTATAGCAAAACAAAACCAAAAACAAAAACAAAAACAAAACCAAAAAAACCACTCTCAAAAAAGAAAAAGAAGAAAAAAAGGGACTCATTGTAGTACCTATCCATGGGGCTGCTTTTAGGAAGATGGGTTCTGTGGGTAAAACACCTTGAGGAGCCCCAGGCACACAGTGAACCTTCTGGAAGGGTCCGTCATCCTCAGTATCATCGTAGTAATAGCAAATCCTGCAGTGAACTTGTTGTACACAGAACTGGGTTCAGAATTTAGTCCCTTGGAATACACTCCCAGAAAAGGAATGGAGGTGAGCCCCAGATGGACAGTTTTCTCTCCAAGAGGCTGTACCTATGTGCACTACCGTCGGGAGTGTACAGAGTGCCCACTTGGCACACTCATGCCAGGCTTGGGCCTTGGCCTAGGCAGCAACCCCCCCACACCACACAGGGGAGCGGACAAGGGAGGTGGACAGTGGCCTTGGATGGGCGGTGTGGGCAGGAGTCAGATGCAGGGCTAGGGCAGTCCACAGAGGTACCCATGCTGGGCCCATCTCTTGAGCTCCTGAAAACCCTCAACACTGCTCTGAGCCTCAGTTTCCTCATCTGAAAATGGAGAACAATAATACCCACCAATTGCAGTTTGTGGTGAGAAATGAAGTGAGACACAACATTTTATTGTTAACTGTTATTATTCACTTAAACAAAAGGATTATGACGTATGGGCAGGATTGCCACAAATTGATCATCGTCATCACCACCATCATTTCTACTGCTTACTGAACATGGTCTGTACCCCATGCACTTTTCCTCATGGATTTGGGCCTCACCACAGCCCTGGCTGATGCTTTCCTTCACACGGTAGGTGAGGGACCTGAGTGTCAGAGATGGTAGGTCACTCAACTGGTGAGAAGTGAGGTTTGTTCTGAAATAACATGAAGCAGCTCAAACCAGTAACTTTGAATGGGGCCAACTGCACCCTCTTCCCCGAGGCCCTTTCAAAATTGGGGATTTTTAAGCTGCCAGGTCTGAGACTTGAACTGTGGTCAGTCATGTGGGAGTTCAGCACCTTAACCACCACACCACCTGCTGACCCCAATGACTGACTTTTTATTTCTCTTTCATATTCCAGTAAGAGAATTATATTGAGTTTTTAAAAATATGTATATAAGTAGGTTATATATTCTATGGATTTTACTTCAGAATAATAAAGGAGAAACAGAAATACCTATAATAAAATGTAAGATGGGTGTTGGGTCTGAAAAGTTTAAGGCCCCGGCCTATAAATGGCAGCTGTTCTTATTCTCCTTCATATATGAATCTAATCTATTATTTCAACTGGTTATTTTGAAATAATGGTAGACGTGCAGAAAAGTTACAAAGCACAGAGAGTTCCAGAATACTCTTTTCCCATCTCCCTTGGTGAGCCCCTTATATAACCAGAGCACAAGGATCAGAACCGGGACGTTAACCTGGACACAGAACTATGGACTGATCTATGCCAAGTCCTTAGCCCCCAGCACTCCTGCTGATGCTCTTTGTCTGGCTCAGAATGCAACCCAGGATCCCATCGTGCCCTTGGCGTCACATCTCCCGGAGTCCCCCAGGCAGGGACATCACATTTCCCTTGTGTTTAGCGACCTTGACATTCTGACAAGTCTGTCCTGCGTGGAGGCTGTGCCTCCGTTTGGAACTGAATGATGCTTTCTCATGACTGGATTGAGGTTGTGTTTTGGTGAGAACACGGCACGAGCCACGCGCCCTTCTAAGTTTACCCGTTGCGATACACAACTGGACACTCTTGGAGGTGCCTGTTTTGCCACTTGCTCAAGGTGGCTCCTGCCAGGTTTCTCCACTGCAAAGTTACTATTTTCCCCTTTGAAACAATAAAATATCTTGTGGGCAGAGAGACTTCAGACCAGGCGAATCCCATTTCTTACACTTCCTCCCACCTGTTTCGGCATT